GCTTGCTTTTGCAAAGCAGCCACCATGTAAGACTGAAATGGCTGTAATACAGTATCTATTATGTTTTACTTCACCTCTGAACCTAGAAAAATCAGATCATTTCCATAGATTCCACAACGTGAAAGGAACCTGTTGCCAAAAGCTGAGTCAGTGTTAAAATACTTTCCTTCCTTTTCTCGTGCTTTGTATAACTCTTTTGTTCACTTTGGTTTCACAGGTACCTATTTGCATTGCAAGTGAAGCAGGACCTGGCACAGGGAAGGCTAACGTGTAATGATACCAGCACTGCCCTCCTAATCTCACACATTGTACAGTGTAAGTTCCCTTCTTTCCGGGAGGAGAAATGGGATGATTGGTTGGACACGCTTTGCCAGGTTATCTGTTAATGGCTGCTATGGGAGGAGGGTCAAGCCATGTGAGCAATTTATTACATTTCTGTAGAACAGCATTAATGTGCAGGTAACCTATTTTTTCTGATAAAGAGCTCCTGAACACGAGACTGGCATTTTTAAAGCACTGCATCTGATGGTCTGACAGGACTCTAAAAAGCAGCTTTTGCAGGTGGCCGCAAACAGGTTGAATTCTTCTCTTGAGTTTTATTATTTATATTTATCATTGTATCATGTCAGCAGAGCATTCAAATTCCTGGAGATCTGTATAGTGCTTAGAGAATGTAGTAAATAAACATGCCTGAAATGCCAGATTAAATCAAAGTCCTAAGAAGAAACCACTGGGGAAGAAAAAAAAAACTTTTGTTTTTTCTTTTTTTTTAGTCTGAAAGAATGCACAGTGAAACTTTTCATAGAATCATACAGCTTTTTTTCATCATCTCAAAGCTTCTTCCATCTTTCAAATCACTTGAAAGGTGATATATGCTTTCCATTTCAAGAAATTACAGTTAGTAGTATTGAGAATAACAGTAGGAAGAACCACTTAGTATGTGTAAGCCTTGATGGAAATCCTGATCATAATCCGCTAGCTTTGAATGGCCATTGCACAATCCAGTATTGCGTTTTCCACTGAAGTGCTGCATGATGTAGATGGCTGTCAGCAAAGACATTCAGAAAGACTTCAGTGATCAATAGGTAATTCTCATGGTGTTTTGTCAGAGCCTGTTCAGGCGTTTGGATAGTTTCTTGTCAATCACTGATGAAAACGAAAGGCGGATATTGCATGATTTTCTATTTGCCATGGTCAGTGACCAGTGTTACTGAGGAGCAATCAGATGTTGTACAGCAGCCTCTCTGGAATTCTGTATCCCTCATATCCTTTTCCAGCAGAATGTTTTTGCAGCAACGACCTTTTTTTCTTTTAAGAAGAAAATCCTTGGCTACTTTGTTCTGTCTTTCAGTTTTTCCTGCTTCTGTGTTCAGCACATCAGCTGTTATTTCTCTTTTCTGCCATCTTTTCATCTCTGTGTTAGTTTAGATTCATTGAGTATCCTGTGTTGAAATGCAAACTGGGAGTTCTCTTCATTTAGGATATTGTTTCATCCTCTCTTGAGCTCTGCAGTTCTGCATACAATATTTTCCTTATTAGGTCCTAGTTCATGTCTTACTTATCTCGTATTGATTACTGGGTTAAATTCTTCACTGAGCCATCTGCAGCCCTGGGCTGCACCGCTCAGCGGGCAACTCACTTTTCTAAAGCAGCAGTGTAAGAGGATAAAGTCCCAGGATGTCCATTCACCTTTGTGAGCTTCCCCTTTTGTCTCCTTCCCTCCTTTCTGCCCTTTCCCACCTCACAGTCAAACACAAATTTAACTAACTCCATGCTTTTCACAGTTCTTCCATTATACGCTTGGCCATTCCCTGCAACATACAGTGCAAGCAGGCTTTCTCTACAAACGTGGGCTACAGCATATCTAATTTCGTTTTGAAGTCTGAAAGAAAGTGCAAATCAACACCAATGCTCTTACGCTGTTGAGATATATTATGTTGTTGAGTTATGTAATTGTTCTCAATTGTGGTGAATGAGTGTGATGATTTTGAACTGTTTTTAGATTTTTGTGCTCTCTTTCTCAATTTTGAGCTTGAGGTGTAGAGCGGTTTTGAACTGTGATTTCAAGAATCAACTAGTATTCTCCTTCTGGAGAGTAAAGGAAGACGGTTTCTGTACTGGAAAACTCAGCTTTTCCGTCTCAGCAGAAGGAGAGAGGTCAGAGAATGGTTACTCAGAGAGGAGCAGAATTCACAGCATCTAAGCTGTGGTTTTGGGCAGAGGGTTCTGTGTCTTGTGCACCTGCCCTGCTGCTCCCCTCATCAGCTCCTGGCTGCAACCTGGGCATTTCTTGGATGTTCATAATATTGCCATTGTGCCCTCCCTCCCTGCTCTTTTGTGTCTGTTTCTGACAACCTTTGTGGAACCTGCTGTTTGCTGGAACTCTGTGATTGCCTCATTTATTTATCTATCTTGTGTCTCGTAAAGATTTTTCTGTGAAAATTGGCTCCAATAAGAGCATATAGCTGTAGCCTACCCACGTGGTTTTCTTTTGTATTTATTTTCTCTTTAGCTTATAATTCAGGAGCTAAAAAATATTACACATTTGCCTGCAACAAAAATAAAGCTTGACAGCTGATAGCAGTGATGTTATCCAAGTGGAAAGATGGAGAAGGGAGGAGGGTAGGTATTGTGTCTTATCAGTGCTGTGCCTGCCAGCACTTTCCATGAGGGCTATCTGATTCCAGAAGCCTTTACATTATGGATACAAGCTTATGCTGATGTTATAGACTGTTATTTAAATAAAATTAAAATACTACAGCAAAGAGATTTTTGTTAAATTAGCATGTATATTACAGAATGGGTTATATATATGAAAGCTTCTATTTAAAAATACCTTTTGGCAAGTGTTAAAAGTGCAAGATTACTTTGGTACAGTGAATGGTGTGGAAAGTGAACGTGTAGAGTAAGAAGATGGACTGATAAAAGGAAAAGAGCTGAAATATAAAGCATTAGATGTAGCAGAAGTACTAATGCAGGCAGAAAATGTAGAGAGTGGTGTGATGTGCGTGCAGAATAAGAGAGAAGAGATTATTGGTGGAAGTCAAATCTTTGACTACAGCACACAAGAAGATTTTAAAGAAGACTTATATGAGAGGCTGGTGGTATTCAAGATAAAAATCCCTCTCTTTCTAGAGACACTGCTATTAGAAAGGAATTTAAGAGGAAAAAGGAAAGCTAGAGAGGGTAGAAGGAGAAACTGCTGAGAACAGGGTCAGAGAGAACAACTTCAGAAGTGGTTTGAAAGTCAAAAGGACAGCCTTGCTAATGGATTGGGAGTCCACAGATGCAAAGAACATTATAAAATTATGTGGGGAAGTAAGTTTTCTGTAGTCTTAGTCTTCTGTAGTCTAGCCCTACATAAGGGGGATTTAATTACATCTGTGTACAAGGATATACAAGCTATGACACATTTAGTGTTCTTAGGAGTGTGTTTCATAAGACATGAACAATATTCCTTAAGACCTACTGTTCTCATGTTTTAGACAGAGATGATTGTTACAGCTTTCTTTGACAGGAAAGACTGAGGGAGCTAGGCCTGTTCAGCCTGGAGAAGGCTGAGAGGGGACCTGGTCAGTGTCTATAAGTACCTCAAGGGAGGCAGTGAGGAGGATGGTGCTGGCCTCTTTTCACTGGTGGCCACCAACAGAACTAGAGGTAATGGCCAGAAACTGAAGCACCAAAAGTCCCACAGGCGCTTAAGGAAAAATTTCTTGACAGGGAGGGTGCACTGGAACAGGCTGCCCAGAGAGGTTGTGGAGTCTCCTTCTCTGGAGATCTTCAAATCCTGCTTGGATGCAGTCCTGTGCCACGTGCTCTAGGGGACCCTGCGTGTGCAGGGGAGTTGGACTAGATGATCCCTAGAGGTCCCTTCCAACCTTAAGCATTCTATGACAGGTGAACGCTACATCTGTAGAAAACTCTATGCACATTTTCAAGAGTCAGTACCCAACTAGCATCACTTAAGACATTGCAAGCCTAGGCAGGCTTGTGGCTTCATTAAAAAAGGGAAACAATCTTTCATTGGAGTTAGGACTAAAAATGGACCCCAAAGATTTGTGATGGTGGGGGCAAGTAGAATTGGGGTGGTGGAGGTGCTTTTGAGATGGGGAAAATGAGGACCTTTCTGCAAAGGAGAATTCTCAAATGTTCATTAATAAGAAAGTCTGTTGTTGAATGTCAGAAGGGATTATTCAGAGCATATTGGCTGATTCCCACCCCCTCCCTCATCCCATCTTGATTTTCAGTTATTTTTCCAACCCTGACTTCTACAGCCTTCTGGGCATCAAGAATAGTTGTGTGGCTGCAGCCAATTTGGGTTGAAAGGTCTTTCATCAGTGCTTGCGGTCCTCATCTTGCACACCTGTACGAGATGCTCTCCCCTCCACATCTGGAGCTGGACAAAAGTCTTTCACAAATCACCTGCAGTGTCCTAAACATCTACTTACACCCTTCTTTCTTTCTAAACCAGCTCATTTTGGGCAGAAATGGATTAAAGGATCTTTTATATGGGACAGCTAGGGTGGTGGTACCCTGTGGTAAGATTGAAGCAAGGATCTGAGCCTGGCACCCTCAGTCAACTGCAGAACAGTGTGTAGCCTAGATCTAGCTTGAGGGATCTGCGTTTTAGTTTCATTGATGTTTATAAGGTAGCAGCCTTGAGGTATTATTCCTGTTATTCCAGCAGGTCTGCAGGCAGAGGGCTGGTATGTTGTTCTGTTTAAAAAATAAAATATTAGCAAGATTTTCAGAAATACTCAAGGACACTAGGCAAAAAGATAGTAATGTGGTACCTACACATCGATTGTCCCCTCTCCCTGCAAAAGGCAGTCTTACTGAATGGGCTGAGAAATGGAAGGTGGGTGTAACACATTCTTACACACACTTTATTGAATAACTGCAGCAGATGGGCACAGCTTTGAGGGGGAGGGAGACAGAACCTTCCTCGTATTGCTGCAAAATTAAAGGAAGACAAATGAGATGGCAGACGTGCATGTGTTGAAACAGGCAAAACACAGCCCACCCTCTTCCGATTTGTCCTGGGAGATGATGTGTGGGACTTGGGCCTGGGGAAGAAGCTCGTGCTTGCCTCTCTTGGGAAGTGCAGCTGGGCACCACCATGGGGCGAAGGCTCAGTGGGCTGTGCTGGAGTAGTGCTCTCCTTCTCCTGGTCACCTCCTTTATTCCCCAACATGGGGCAAGGCTGTGATGGCTTTATTGGCTAAACCAACATGTGGAGGTAATGTACGTGGTTGTGGAGGTTGGAGGGAATCCTCGGGCTGCTTCTCGCGTCTCTGCCAGTTGTTTGCCTAGATGAGAAGGGAGGAACGTGTGGAAATCACAATAACGGGAGTGTAAGTCATGAAACTATGGCACAGCTTATGGCAGCATGCTGGTCTCTCTGCTCTCATCCCTGCTACCTGCACTTTCTGGTGCATATCCAATTCACTGCTTTAATATTTTTTTTCTTTAATTTTTTGTAGCTGAGATTGGAGATTTTGATGAAACCATAGATCGTGAACACTTAGCAAAGAACAAGTATATACCTCAGCAAGAAGCACTAGAAGACAAAATCATGGAATTTCACCGTAATCACATGTAAGAGTTT